TATGTAAGTGTACCTATTTGATTTTATTTAAAGAAAATGAAATCTAGTTACCACAGGATATCTGTTTTATAGATTATCTTGATCCTCATTGTCCAAATTTAATTTTCAGTGTAGAACTTGATTTCGGTACTAAAAAATGTAAGTGTCTAATTGTGAAAGTACCGTAACTTGAATCGAAAATATATGCTTAGTCAACAAGGAATGGAATCCCACAAAACAGAAAACCCCCAACAAAAAGACAACTAGAAGGCATCAAACATAACTTTTATAAGGTAAATTGTATTATTTCTAAAACATATAAGCATTAAGTAATTGGTTTCCAAATTCATTTATATATAACAATACTGGTCTAACTTCGAACACATAGAAGTAAATAATAAAACACAACAATATTGATACAACTAAATATGGAATTACTGCTAAAGTCAACATTAACTGGTGCCAGTATCGTCTAAATTCCAATCTTAATGGATCTGCTACGAGTAAAAATGTTTTGAATTTTTCGCTCTTTAGCAATCTAATGTTTTGTGATGACCCTTTCAAATATTTTACAATGTCATGGAAAACGTTAACCAAAGGTTCTACAGATAAAATCACATTGCTTTCGCTCTTCAGTACTTTTGTCTTTTTAAGAAGAGCAGAAACGTAACGTAAATATAACCCAAAGGTTTCGCGCTTTTTATTTATCATATTTTGAAAATGCTTAAGATCGACTATTTTTGTTGTTTGCATCTTTAGTTTATTGTCTTTTAAATAAATAGTGTTTTTCAATCTTTCAATATTGGAACGTAACTCTTCAGATTCTTGTTGCCTTCTGGTAAGGGAATATTGATGTGATCTATAATTACTCCATGCAAACTCCTTTTCACGTCTGGCTCTTTCAATTTCATCACTCAATCCAGAAAAAAATGCTGCAATTCCACCAATCAAAGGAATGGCATAAACTCCACTTTCTCTTTCTATTTGTTTTCGACGATACTCTCTCTCTGCTCTTTCTTTGTTTCTTTCAGCCGTTTGAAAATGCTCATGAGCAATTTGAAAATCTTTTTGTGCATCTTCAATTTGATATCTTTTTTGACTGATTTCTAGATTAGCCTTTTTAATCTCTACTTTCAGATTACTGATTTCGTCTAGTAAATCTTTTTCTTTAGACATTGACTTCTCAAATTCATCGTTAACATAGGATTTCAGTCTTGATAAATAACCGTCTGCTATTTCAAACTCTGTGTAAGCTTTAAGTATATATTCATATGTATTTTGCATTTCATCTTTTGAAAGTAGCTTGTCAGATTCGATATAAACATTAGAAATTATTTGGTATGCAAGCATAAGATTATGGATTCCGGTATCAAAGTGTGGTGTCACGTAAGCATTAAGACTGGATTCATAGTTTACCAGTGACGTCTCCATTGCTCTAGCAATCAAATAACCAACTCTATTCTACCGTTGCTTCCTTATCTGAAACTAAAAACATACAACATATTTGAATATCATATTTAGAAGGATACTATTAGTTATCAAGCCGTTGTTTAAATCGTCGACCAAAGTGACTGTATTACAAGGCTCAAATCATCCCGTTGCTCCTTGTATACTTTTTCTTGCACCTTGATATGAAACTGAGGGCATTGTTTATTGCTGGAGGTTGTTGTCAGTGAAATAACAGTAGTTAAAAACTTGTACTTTATTTTATCTTCCTTTTAAAAAGAACTCTTTTTGCAAGGTTGATTCTCCGCCAAGACGCTATTAATCATTATAGATCTTTATTATAAACTGTAATAAAGAAACCAAATACAAATTGAAATAAAGGTTGCCTTATGTTATAGCTTGATGTTTTTTTATTTGGAGAGTTTGCTGGTGATATACCTTAAATAGTCTCGGTTTAAATTATTCAAATCTGTTTTAGATTCGGGACGATTTAGAGCTTGACTACATATAGTACAAAAAGCTGCCTATTGTTGAAGACAATTATTACCAACTAGATGTTTGTTTTGTTGTAATTTGTGTCGTAGTGTTAGTGTTAGTGTTACATTGGTGATGCCTAACACCTCTTTATTTTACTCACGTAACCCTCAAAGATGAGGATATGCCAAACAGCCGTTTACAAACCAAACTAAGGTATTTGTACATGTTCACCTGCACACTGCGTTGTTACATTTAGACAATGCCGCAATAGAAAATTATTTCTGAACTTTTTAACGAAGTGAATGTATCTTGTGTATTTTTATTTTATAGAATTTTCCAATGTTGCTAACAAAAAGAAGAAACCAATTAAAATGAAATGAAAAAGGGATGCTTGTATAATGTTTAAAATCTTAAAGTAAAAAATAAGTTTTCTTCAGTACCTGTATCATATTAATTATTAACATAAATCTGATGAAAATTATATTAAAGGACAATGCTTACAATAAAGATTCAATTCATTTTTCAGTATTGTTGGCATTTTTTGAAGTACATTTTCTCTCTAGTCATAATACTTTCAAAATTATCAGCAAATAAAGCATTTTTTATTTAAAAATCGTCATTTTACGAAAATAACTAAGAAAGGTTCAGTCATATATGAACATTTGTTTATCTATTAGAATATCAAAAAACCGTTACCATTTGTCCAAACCCGTGCAATTAAATGTACGATTGAGTAATATTTAACACATTTTTGCAGATCTTGTATTACTGATCACTTTTAGATGATTATTAGGAAACCCGATAAAAGGAGAAGAGACAGTAATGTCCATAATTAGCAAAACTTAAGTAAAACAAGTTCCAATACACAATTTAAAATTTGCCCTAACATGACTAGGGTAAAAGGTGTTCAGAAAATGAAAGAGAGTTCACGTGTCATAGCTACACATCATGACAATTAGTATATTTTGTGAAACTTCTTTATTTCCATATTTTGTATTAACTATGGAGTGTATTTTCGATTGAAAACAGAAAAGCTGCACCAAAATAACGACTTCGTATTTTGTGGAATTATGTTAATAGCTATGTTATTTTTATTTGGCCGCGGCCATAGTTTCCATTAAGGAAATATGGATGAAAAACTGCATGCCATCGACAAGTAACTTTTATCATTTTTAAATATTTGCTCATAATGACCTTATTATGACGTCATTACTTTATACATTTTGTCTAATTTATTTAAATTTATTCATTTTCTGTATTTCACAATTCTATGAGCAAACCTGAAAAAGATATCAAAAACTTCACTTTTCTGGTCAAATAATATAGTGGAATATATTATTGTTTGCATTGTAAAAATGTCTTGGGATGTTTTAGATTAATTAAATGTTTTTGATGGTCATTCTAATTAGATTAACTATTATGTATATATTATTTTTTTTTTATCTCTACACTACACTTCCAAACCATCTTATCATAGAGAAATTTTCTTATTTAATAAAATGGTTCTTTGAAAAATCTGTTGAAAAATTTATTTGCAGTAACTCATATTTAGCCTTCTTCTTTAATGGAGAAGGTAAAATTCTAGATTCACTTTCATCTAGTGTGATAAGACGATTAAAGCTGTTAATTTTCTCCTCAACATCTCTGCACATTTCGGCAATATACTAGTCATGATCATTTCAGTTTCACATGGAAAACTCTATAAACAATTTTTTTTAGGATAACAATATTTCTTTTACTCTATTTTATGGTTTGAATATTTCTTGGTCGTTTTTTGCCATGGCATTGTCAGTTCGTTTTCGATTTATAGGTTTGATTATACCTTTGGTTCCTTTCGCGTCTGTATCCAAATTCGTAAGCTATGTCCGTGTCTGCAGTGACGATTCAGATCTCGATGAACGAAAGCTATGTATAACTAGCAATAATTTATAATGTCAAGGATTTCCATATCATAAATAACTTAAACCTTTTACTTAATTCTTTCATTGAGATAATATTTCGTTTAGAAGTTTGGCTGTAACCGTCGAAACGAATTTACACACGGATATCACATTCTTATATTAATGGTGATGTCGTTTATAGAGCTCATAGATATAGATACAATACAATTAAAATTATTGATCTTTTGAATAAATAATTCTTACTCAAACACTGTAAGGAGATCTTTGAATATTGTCTTATCGGGGCTTACACTGTGTTGTTTTTTTATGAACTAAAACATAACTAAATATCTATTGTTATAAGTTTTGAACACTTATGGTTATGCACCCAGTTGAAACCAATGATTTGGCTTTGCACAAGCTCACGCTTTTCGAAGACTATGTAGGATGAGGCGACATTGGTTTACTGGTGTTCCAATCTCATATATCGACTTAGAATAGACAAATCAAGGTAGCAAACAAAACCGAAGGGAATCGCGTGCACCCCTAAAGGAGCGAGAACGGGTGCGTCGACATGGTAAGTGACTCCTATGCATTTACAACCCGCCATCCGAACTCAGACCCATCGAAACATTACTACCTGGAACAAGACAGAATCGTTAAAATTACAGATCGGACGACTATACTGGTATTTAAAGATCCAAGACAGCAAAAATATGTCGGTAGTCATCGAGTTGAAACAGACACATCTTATCGTTCAATCAATCTTTGACGGTGACCGTAACACTAATGTAGTGTCGATTTCAGTCGTTCCTTCTCATAACTCTGTTTGCATGTATAGCAGGAGACGCTTATTCTGTAGTCGCACCTGGTCCCGCTCCTTTAGTAGTTCACGCAATTCTCTCCGTTTTATTAGTTATTTTGATTTGTATCTTCATTACTCGATTTATGAGACTGAACATCGGTAAACTATTATAGCCTGAATTTCTTAACATGTAGAATGATTCACACCGATACTACTTCTCTATCAAAAAAGAATAACAAAAATACCGAACTCCAAGGCGAATACAAAAAGGGTAAGTACATAAAAACTGCCAAAATCAAACCCTATCAATCAACGGAAATAATCAAAAATAGCTGCCATATTCCTGACTTAGTACAGGCATTTTCCAAAGAAAATGGTTAGTTAAACACAAAACAAATTTAAGAAATCGAAAATAACCCGAAATTCCTGTTTATTTTAATTTTAGCAAAAATATCAACATGATGGTTTCCGTAACTAGAGTTTTTTTTTATGAGACGAGATAGTTAGTCTTGTGCTCAACCCCCTAACCTGGAGGGCCAGTGGAATTGTAGTTGAGGTTCCATTCCTCTAGATCGTGTGCCAACCAAAACTTACGAGCAAAGATCTACCCGGATTGGTATCAGAGTTGTCTCTCCTAGATGGATTGCCTTTCTGGGCTTTCAACCCCCATCTGACCGACTATTTACCCATAGCTGGGATGAGCTTACAATAATTCAGCAACAGTGATGTAAATAATAATGTTTCAGATTCAATACAAAGTGAAGACTGCAAGACTGAGTGAATTCGACCAACGATTGCTTGTCTGATTACCAACCAGTGACTAAATATTCTCGTGAAAAGTAAAATAACAAAAATACGGAACTCCAAGGAAAATTCAAAACGGAAAGTCCTTTATTAAATGGCACAATAAAAAGCTCAAATACATCAAACGAATGGAAAACAAATGTCATATTCCTGACTTGGTACAGGCATTTCCTTATGTAGAAAACGGTGGATGAAACCTGGTTTTATAGCTAGCTAAACCTCTCACTTGTACTATAGTGGCAAAAAAATTCCTTATATTAACAACACTGTTTGAGCAAAACAGACAGACATAATTGGTAAAAATGTCAAAACAATGGGGTAGACCAGTCAACAAAGTAAAACAAAATGGCATATAGACACTCTGTAGATAATGAACATAAGCAAAAATGAAAGACAAGAATTTAAAAAATGACCACAATAACACAATGTCAAGATGTATAAATATCAAACCATGCCAAATAGGATATTACCCAAAAATGGACTAAACAGTAAAGGTTTAAAATATACAAAGACAAATAAAAAGAATATTATAACACGTAATTAACATGATAAACAACATCAACATGACACTTCAAATGAACTATTAGTTTTTGTCATAAGTTAGTTCATTTAGTTTTCTCTCAACTTTTGCAAGACATTCCTGTCTTTTCTTCATTACAATTTCGCTTATTTCGCTTTGGGCATTTCGGCAATTTTCATTCAGCTGTTCTCTCTTCTCACTGATTTTCTTTTGTTCAGTCTTAGGATCTAAAGCAGCCAACCCGCCCAATGCGTTCATCTGATCAAGTAAATGTTTTTCCGATATTTCCACATATGTTGCTGCTATTTCATGAACTGCATACGATATTGTACTTACTTTTAAAACACTTTCATGAACAAGTTCACGTGTTAAAGCGGGCAAAGCATCGTATTTCAATTTCAGTTTTGTACCTATATTTGATTTTTCTATCAAGGTATTAACATTTACATGAAAATTCATTTTTATCATTTTTGATATCGTTTTAAAAAATCTCACAACTTTTCCCCATTCTTCACGAACATTTTGTATGGCTTCAATACCTTTCATTAAAGTTTTTCTGATTTCTTCAAAGTCAACCTTTTCAATCTTTAATTTAGCTAAATCCTTTAGGGTATCTTCCATTCGAGCATTATTTCGTCTAAGGCTTTGAAACATTTCTTCCTGCTTTTTTCGTGAACCTTGCAACACTTCTTGCGCAGAATCGACTTTAATGTGAGCTTTTATTAGTTCGTTGTGCACTAAACTGGAACTAAACATTGATTTGTGCCAACTCATACGAGGACCTCTACTGTGTAAAAATGTATCTGCTTCAGTAACAAATCGTTCTGAAATAAGTAATGTATCTTCTACTTCCATTATTAATGTTTTTATTCTGTCGTCATTAAGTTTAAAATCTTTGTGTATCGCTATAAGTTGTTTACACAGTCGAATCGAATCTTCACAAATTTGTATGGCTCTCCTATGAACCTCGGTTGGCATTTCAGCTCTGTTCATGTTCCTTAGATTTAATTTAAGACTCTCCTTTGCCGAGCGCACCGAATCAATTTCGTTCCAGTTAGGTGTTTTTTCCCCTATTCCAAGGCGAGATGTCGCGACATCTACTAATGTATGCACATGTCTATTTATTTCCCCAGCAAATCTGTAGGCTTGTTTGTCTGCTCGATCTTCTGGCGTTTCTGCTTCTTCTCTTGTCGTTTGAATTTCTTCAAACATTTGATCCCAATGGCCACGAAAAATTGTTTTGGCAACACCCATAAATCCGTCAACAAGAGATAATCCAAGCAATTTCGTACTAGATGGCATTTCATCCAATGTTTCCTCGAAATCATTCTGCATGTCTTTTATTTCTTTCTTCATATCCTCTATCTGTTGTTTCATGTGTTCTCTTTCTGACATTGAGCTTTCCTGCTCTATTTCACTTGATTTTATCGACGTTTCTGTATCTTTATACTTTTCTTCATATACTCCTTTAGCAATTGTGCTTGCTTCATTCAGTTCACTGATTGTCTTCATGAATAAATCAAAACTGCTTTCGGTATTTACAGAAAGTTCCAAGCATTCGTCTGCAATTGTTTCTATTTTCTTCAGTGTCATAGGAACAAGCAATTCCACTTCGTCATTTGTTCCAACATCCATTATTTTAAGTAATGTCTGAACGTGACTGTCAAGGTTAGTAGTATGTAACCTTATGCTATCCATATTCATATGGGCGTCATTAAAAGCATCCGATCCCATATTACTTAATTGAACCAACGATGCCCTGAAAGAATTTGGATATTTCAAATATTTAAAACCGTCTTTAGGAGCATTTTCAAGTAATGTAAAATCACTTTCGGTAGCTATTAGCATAAGGTTACCAATTAAAGCAATAGATGTAGGTGTTGATGTCAGTAAGCTGTCCCAGTTTGAGTAAGGTGCTATTTCAGTTTCTGCTATTTCCTTGGCTTGTTTTCTAATATCACTTTTATCGCATGTATCTGCTATTGATGGAGAACTCCCATAAATCCTATAACCATTATAACATGTATAAATAATAGATTATATTAGAGACCAGTGAACAATTTCACTTATTTGAAATACAATACAATACAAAAAGAAAGTTTTTCTTAACATTAACCATATCAATAAAATAAATTCTTCGTTCATCCAAAATATTTAAAAAAAAGTTAATGCTACAAACGAAGATGATGGAAGTTCAATGATGACGAAGACAGGGCGCACTATGTGATTGCAATAGCCCACATGGCTTTTAAGGGCCAAGCACCGTAAAAATGAATGCTTTGACACAAAAGAGAATTATATGTACAATAATTGAATATCTTGACCTCATTTTTTTTGTTATAATAAATAAAATATTTATAATGGATGATAATTCGTTGAACAGTTCTCAGGTACACACGAGAACGACATGAAGCACCAAACTTCAATCAATCCATAATCATAACTGCCGATCGATAATAGTGAAAACCTCCGTTATCAAATTAGACTACCATTTTGTTATCAGATACAACTTATAAACCAGTTGAACAAAATTGGTTGTACAGTTCGCAATTTGTTGCCATACTTCCCCAAACTAATACCTGAATTTCTCCGTCGGAAAAGTTGGTTAGTTAAAACCAGAGAAAAACATCTGATGGACTTCATGATAGAGTCAGCATAAGGCTTTCAACTATGTCTTTGGTTGTCACACCCCTTCTTAAAATATTGAAATCTTTATAACTTTATGAACATTGCCAATCTTCACCAAGCACAAGTAGGAACTTGTTGTGCTTTTTGCAGGCTGACTATACCCAATGAATAAAAGTTTACATAATAATGCTATATCTAGTCATCAAAGATACCAGCCTTATAAGTTGGTATACCAGAATCTCGTTTCGTCTACGTAAGACTCATCAGTGGCGTTCGAAATAAAGTTGAGCCATTAACAACGACAAGAATACTAAGTCTTCTATAGCGTGTATTTACTATACTTATATACAATTTTGTTTTGTTAACCAAAGTTTGTTAAATGTTATCTGAATATATTTTTACATTCTTGGAGAAACCAAATTCAAAGGAATAGATCGCTAATCAGTGAAAGTTGTTTTTGCTTTCAACCAAGGAGATGTAATAGCAATTAATGCACATGCTGTTTTACTAACATTATGTATTTCAACATATACACTAGTATAAGAAAGCAAAATATATTTCCGTTTGTATGCTTACATTCTTACATATTTATGTCACAACATTTATAAACCATGACCTAGTACAAAATAACGTGATGTATAGTAAATTCAGTTCGGGTAGTACCAGTATGAAGTGAAAGAGATGTACTTCATTTGCATCGACCGATGCAAGGTAATTTTCAGTAAGCAGTCAAGCATATGCTTTAATATTTATTGCATTGCCTTCAAAACTAGCAATATAAACTTTTGGTTCATTTTTTAACCTCTGGAATTCCTCATATCAATTTAAAGAAACAAGTTAAGATATTTCTATATATATACAAGGCAATCCTGTGGAGACTTTTTCAAAATTACTATATCCTTTCAACAAAAAAATGTCATTCGGTTGTATAGCGTTGATATTGTACTCTAGGTGATCACTAGTTGGACAGGTGATAAAATAAATGTTATCAATTCAGATATCACCTCAGCCTTTATCATTTTTTTTTATTCGGTCTAAACTTGGTCAGCTTGATATGTCATTGCTATAAGTCATCGTCGACATTGTTAATATCAACGATATCTACATCAAGTTTTTCATGGGTGTCATCATCGAAAAAAAACGACATTTGGCTATGTCATGTTTGTATGAGTCATCAATATTGGTTCGATATTATGTCGACACGAGGACATCGACATCAGTATTGGTTTGGGAATGAATGAATCTTACGCGTGTAAACCCCGATGGTGGCGAGGTGTATTCGACTTCAATCTTAAATGACACGGATTGCTTGTTCTCCTGTGGAAGGTCGAGGGTTCTGTCCGTGTATCTCTTTGATAAAGTTAGGTTACTGATAATGGCGTTTAACACCAACAAACAAACAAACAAATATATTTTTTAATTATAATGCGTCATTTGAAAACCTAACCACATGCGTATCAGTGCATATCGGCAATGATATCGTCAGTCCAAAAGGCATTTAATGTTTATTCTAAATTATTAGTTTATTTAAGTATAAATTATTGCCATGAGACAATACTCAACAGTCCAAACTTCGGTACTGACATAATTAATAATATGTTTTTCAACAATTCTTTGAGAATAGCTTCTAATGTTTGCATGCTTTGAAATGGTTCGGTTCTAGCATTCCTGATGAAGATTTACACAGAAAACCGCCTCAGACGCACGAAATTTATAAAGTGATAATTGGTACACGATTTGCACATCTACAAATACTAGAATAGGATTGGTCTGTCATAGTTATTCCTCTTGTTTTTAACGTACATTAAAAGACCTAATTGCCGAAATTACGTTTTGCAATAACGCATGAAACCATTATGTCGATGTCAATATTATCTATTCATGCGCGATATGCATGCATCGGATAATCGGTTTCCAAGAAATTGAAATTGAAAAAGGTACATAGCTGTTATTTAAATTTTAAAGCATAACAAAAAATAAAAAAGAGCTTGGAAAAATGTATAAATTTAAAATAAAATATTTTCCTCGAAATGTCATGAATGATTTTGGAGAAGTAGCGTGACAGAACATGACGTGATACGAATGTACACTTTAAAGCTGAAGGTAGTTCAGTTACATGTACGCTTTAACTTTGGATAATTTTTCATTAAAATAAAATGTTAGATGTAGGTGTTTTTCATTTTCGATTCTAGTGCATAAATCGGACATTTATTGATTCCAGTAAGTCAATATGGGGACTTACTCCTCATTTACGATATGTCAACAGTGTATTTGATTGTAAATAGTAGCTAATGACCAATATTGTTAATTAAAAACTGTAAGTGTTAAGAACAAGGATAACACACATTTCTTCTACAGGTTATTGCTGTGACTAGACCGCTGAATTACAAATTTTACTTCGGACTTGTATTACGTTTGTGAGTTAATTTAATTTTCATTTATAGTCCTTTTAAAGCTATTTATATTTTAACCTACTAATATTTCATTCAAAATTGTTCGCTACTCATAAAGATTTCAAATTTGACAATTATAATTCTAAATTTTGCGTTATCTAAAATAGTATAAAAATAGCCGCAAAATTAATGTTAACTGAATATAAGAATGTATACCTTACCTGTATATTGAAGTAATGGAGACAACTGCAATGATGTGAAAGAAAACAGTCGCATACATTTTTCTTTTCTGAAACAAAGTATACAAAAAGTTTATTCAAAGTGCACGAACTGAACAAAATTATAAGAGTAAATAAGGATTTTTCTTTTTAACTTCGAAAAGGTTTTGTATTAATTCTGCTTCATATGAGTGCAAAAACAAGTCGGCCAGTAGTGGTTCACTACTAGTACCCATTGGAATACCGACTGTCTGCTGAAATTTAATCCACCATTTTCTTCACAAGGAAATGCCTGTACCAAGTCAGGAGTATGACAGTTGTTTTCCATTAGTTTGATGTTTTTGAGCTTTTGATTTTGCCATTTTATAAGGAACATTCCGTCTTGAATTTCCATTGGAGTTCGGTATTTTTGTTATTTAACTTTTTTGTCCACCAACTCAACAAATTTGTTGTCAATCAAAATTTCCAGCAGTTTGGTGATATCATCTGAGGCGTGTTTGCTATGGAAATCAGTGCAGTTCATCAAAAAGTAATATTTTTCATGACCTACGTACGTTTCCCATTTTTGTAGTAATAGTCCTGATTAATGAGACGATGTAGTAAGACAGTCGTTTGCAATAAACTCATTGTCACAAAAGTAACAAACAAGCAAGGAGATAACAAGAGGGCGATCAAAACCATCAGTCGAAGAAAATAAAGTACCCCCCATATTATAAGGACGGTTTTCTGTTCTGTTTCATATATTCAGAGATTTTAAAAGAAGTATTAAAAGTTGATACATCATCATTTTAACTGTAACCTGTATAATTATTATTTTTTGGCGGGTCGATACAGTTGTGATGTTTACTTGATCTAAGTTAAGTTAGTTTACAATAGTAACAATTTAATAGAACCTTATTATGTTTTGTTTATACTTAGATAAAACATAGCAACGAACAAGATATTTGGCGGGTTAATTTTAGGTAAAGTACGAGGTAGGGGGTGTTCAAGAGATTCTTAGATGAAAAACGAAGAATGCAAGAGAACATCTTTTCTACAATAACTTTAAAGACTTTTATAAGCTGACCAGAATTCTGGTACATTGTCATTCGTCTTTAGTCTAAGACGTGGCCGTAATGGGGTCCCTGGATTACTAGAGGTTGCAATATGGAATTGCATTGTTGTGCAGCAAGGTCGGTGCCTGTTATTGATAGACTTGTACAAGTCGTAGCTTGTAGGGTACCAAATTGTACCCTTAAGACAACTTTGTCTCTGATCAGACAAAAATGTGTATTTTTACAAATTTTTTTGTCAATTCAAAAGTGGAATGATTGAATGAATGATTGATCTATTGGTGTTTAACGCCACTTTCAACACTATTGTGCTATTTCATGGCGATCAGTTTTTATTGGCGGAGGAAGCCGGAGTACTCGGAGAGAACCACCGACCTTCGGTAAGAAGACTGACAATCCTAGTCAATTAAGATTGGAGTCGAGTACACCTGCCCCGTGCAGGATTCGAACTCACAACCTCAGTGTTGACTGGATAGTGATACAGTAGTTCGACTTCTTAAACAACTCGGCCACCTGGAATGCTAGTATAGATAAATTTAGCTGTTAAAGCAAGAGCAGTTGCACATTTTTTAATACGTTGATATTATTTTATGAAACAATGTTTACTTGTACTTTATTTGGCTTTTTTTTAACTTTTTTTTATTCGAGCGTCACTGGTGAGTCTTTTGTAGACGAAGGGCGTCTGGCGCAAATACAGAATTTCAATCCTGGTATCTATGATGAGTTTATTGGTAGATAATCTGATTATTTGTAAATAGAACATTTTGGATCAAGTTTTAAACTGGTAACGAACTTTTTCTATTACAAAAATAAACACGCTTACCACTTACTAAATGTACACGTTACACAGTCAACGAAATCAATTTACCAGTTTGATCTATGTTTCATCTTTTTAGTTGATCTTATTTTTAATGGCTAAATTTACTGGGCACATGCGCAATCGTCTTCAACTGAGGTTATATAAAAGTTTGCATGCATATAGATTCAAATGAGGTCAAACTATTGTCTTGGAGATTTTCTTACCGATACTGAATCAAACTGACCGTTTATGACGAATACTTTTACAATATTCCATTCTTGTAATCGTTTTAAGACACAAATATCATCCTTAAATATTTAAACTTCAGGTTCATCTTATCCATTTTCCGAAAATGATCAAATAAAATTAATAGGTCGATATGAAATAAAAAAAAATAAAAACTCCCTAAAAATCACATATATTCAATAGCTGACAACAATAAATTGATGATGTTGTTGTAAATAGAAGCACTCCATAGTTCTTACGAAAAGTTAAACATGTGAGGAACCTTATATATAGCTTATGCTCCTTAAAGTCTCTGAAGGGACGTTTGTGTCCTGAATTCATATCAAAGAGTTTTTTCACCACCTTCATTGTTATAAAAGGTAATACTTGAAAACACCATAATTTATCAAATTGGCCAAAAATACTTTTACTTTTACTTTCGTTTCTTAGAAATACAAAAATCCGAGGCTTTCAATATCACCGACAGATGGTTTCGTTACCAGATAAACAAAGGATTCATATAGTTAACTATATAACTCCGTGGATAAACCAGAAACATCTTTTTTTTAATGTGTTCGTATGCATTTTAAAATAAAATCGACTCACCTGATATAATGAAATGTAGAATGAATAAATCAATTGCAACCTTGAAGTATTTATGTATTAGTGCATATGTTAAAATTCAATACACGATAGCTGAGCACGATAGTTACCGTTAACTACATATGAGTGCAATATCAAAGTGATTTCTATTTATAGATGACACCCATGATTTTCAGAAAACCGCCTAATGGTTTTACACTAGTAATTTTTGGGGCCCTTCATAGCTTGCTGTTCGGTGTGAGCCAAGGCTCCGTGTTGAGGACCGTACTTTGACCTATAATCGTTTACTTTTATAAATTTTGACTTGGATGGAGAGTTCTCTCATTGGCACTCATAGCACATCTTCTTATATCTATAAATCATGCTAGAATGAATGAAGAAATCAGTCAAATAGATAGAAGGGGAAAGCATAATAAATTATAAAATTCTATATATCTTTTTATATTTCTTTTTATGTTTTGTATTGATATATAAAACATATACATACTACCATTTTATGTACATATAATTGATTGTAATGATTAATGTTTGTTCTTTGTTTGTATGTTGATGACAATCCAGATTTTGGATATCTTTAACTTTGACTTTGATTTAAATTTACTTCGTTGCTTAGAAATACAAAAATCCTAGGCTTTCAGTATCACCGAAGCTTATTTACTTTGAGGCAAGATAATTATTTGTTGACAAACGAACATATTAAGGTGTTTTAATGGTCCGTGTATATTTGCGTCCATTCGTTTTTCGTTTTGAAATATCAAAAACAAAAAACAAAAAACGAGAGTGTTTTCATTTTTCGTTTTCAATTTCTCAAAAACCAAAACGAAAAACAAAAATGTTTTCATTTTTCGTTTTTGATTTCTCTAAAACCAAAACGGAAAACGAAAGTGTTTTCATTTTTTGTTTTTGATTTCTCTAAAACCAAAATGAAAATCAAAAGTGTTTCCGTTCTTCGTTTTTGATGTAACTTAACAAGAATTTTGTATTCAATTTTAATTATTTCTCGTTTTATAATGTACAATGTTTTCCTTTCTTGTTTCACAGTCATTGATAGTAAATCATGCCAATGTAAACACTCCGGTGTTTTTTCTACATAATGTAGACAAAATAGACCGCCTGACTTATGAATTGAACTACGGTGATAAATGAATCAAAGCCTTTCAAATTACCTTGTTTATATCTTTAATAAAAAATAAATTTTTATATTTAAATATTAAACGAATTCAATCATAAATTTAAATTGTACAATATAATATTATACAAAAATGGTACAAATAAATAGATTGATTACAACATCACATTAACAAGGGAGGTTACTACTTTTTAAAACTGATAAGAAAACTACCCCGGTCGTTAAAGTATACATGCACAGTCACTGTTGTTATCAGATCTTCGATGATAATGTCGACGGATGCAAAAGACTTTATCAATCTGAACAATAAGGGTGCGTGATCTTTACTTTTAAATTTAGAAATGTTGATCTCAGATGATTAGAATTCATGACCAAGGTCCATTATACGAACATTCAGGACGATAATGTGTTTTGCTTGATCAATTGATTGAAAAACAAATTTCCGCAATTTCACAATTCAAACCGGGATTAGCATTCAATCATTTTGCCATTCGGAACCTACTCGGTATTAGTTTTGCTTATTCAAGTTGTGAATACTATATGGTGACCTTAACTAGAGCCTGTGTGTGGATGGGGGTTTACGGCATGAATAGAGAATAGTGGGCAAAAAATATAAATAATAAAGACAATGGACCAAGAAATAAAAAAAAATAGAATAATGAGGTGTTAAAATATAAAGAGAATAGAATAATTGGCAAAAAATATAAAGAAATAAACATGATAAAGAATAGAGAAAAATTGCCTGAAACACTGATCAAAGAATAGAGAAAAATGGAATAGAATATCAAAGAATACAGAAATGAAGAAGTACGCATCCAGACCACCATACTAGTTGCCTAAACCAACGTTATTTTGTCTCCGGTAGAATGTTATTGGTTTTCATACGTTTTCTTTTTATTTCTATGCCTATCAATTAAGACATGAGCTTTCATAATTTGCCAGCTTATTACATTATAAAAAAATACTAAGCCGAACATCACTCTGGATTTTTTCTCAAGAAGACCTGACCTACCCACCCTACCACACCATTACCGAAAAGTTAATACAAAAAAATCTACTCCAATACTTTTGTCCGCACTAGGTGCAAAGGGAAGCTGGGTAGCTGAGGTCTTCTGGAGAAAAAGTCCAGGGTGTAGGATAAAGCAAAACATTGTAATCCACATAGTCAAGTGTGTGGCTGTTGTTTTCAGGGTATGTATGGTTCTTTTCCTCGTTGAAGACCCTCCAGCTACTTTCAAAATGAAGAACAGGAATTAAAACCCTGTTCATTGATAATTTGTATTTTTTCTATGTATTGTGTGCGATTTTGTCCCATGCACATTTACTCCACATCTCTTTATTTTCTATTTTAGGGCCTAAACACGGCTCAATGCAAGTTTAGCCCTTCGATATTAAAGGTCATATGTTACATTATTGTTTCGGATAAGAGTGAATTTGGTACCTATTCAAACGTTTAAACCCGCTGCATTTGTTTGCACCTGTTCTAAGTCAGGAACCTGATGTTCAGTAGTTGCCGTTTGTTGATGTGGTTCATAAGTGTTCTCGTTTCTTGTTTATTATATTGATTATACCGTTGCATAGTTTTCCCGTTTGAATGGTTTTGCACTAGTTATTTTGGGGCCCTTTGTAGCTTGCTGTTCGGTGTGAGCCAAGGCTCCGTGTTGAAGATCCTACGTTGACCTATAATGGTTTTTCTTTTACAAATTGTGACTTGGATGGAGAAATGTCTCATTGGCACTCATACCACATCTTCTTATATCTATATATGGTCTTTTTAAGTGAATTGGGAGATTGGGATTTCTAACTTTAATCTAACCCATGTCAGCTTTTTATTTGTATTTACAGAAAAGAGAGCTAGTTTTGTATTCTTTAATATACTGCTACAGTTTGATTTTCCATGAAAAAGGGACAGTTTTTTCTATGTCCGGTAGCATCGTATCATATCTGGACATCGGCTGTTGTCTGCTCTTTGGTCAGGTTGTTGTCTCTTTGACATATTCCCCATTTCCATTGTCAATTTTATTATCGGTAGGCATGTAAAATTGCCAAACCATACACGACCGTTCATTAGTCATCGTAGATCTATTCCAGGTCTTAATAAGTCTACACAAAGCAGAAAAGGAACTTTTACAACAAGGAATATTACACAACTGAAGCCATAGTCATAAAGATCGATTGACTGATTGGTGTTCCTTTAACGTCGCCGCAGAACATAAAAATATTACCTGATCTTCATTCTCAACATCTTCAATCTCTATTATTCCCAAGGAAGCAACCATTTGATTCTCTGGGGTGGGGCAGGGATTTGTACCCGAAGTCAATAATTTTTTTTAACACAGACTGAAAAACATGCCTTTATCCATGGCCACACACAAACACAATAATATTTTCAAGATTTATTAAAAAAAAACTTTTTTTACACTTTTATATTTTTATGTTGTTTTGAAATATTAATTTGACTTGAATTTATACGAGTTTACTAAATATACATGTTTATACCACGCCAAGTCCGTTTATATCTTGTTTCTCGCCTGACTAAGCAAAAGGCCAGGGGAGCTTTGGCCATCATTTCTCGTCTTTGATAGATATGGTTGACTGATAAGCTGTCTATATAAAGTAATGGGACAATGGCATGAAGACATCACCAAATCACCATATACAATACACAAAAAGACACCTAGAGCTTACCATATGGTCTTCAACTACCCACCAACAGGCAGTAAGCTCTGGTTGGCCTTAAACACAAATCCAAGGGCACAGCAAAATGAGAAATATCCAATTAAAACTGGGTGACCTGGGAGGAAAACATTGGAACTTTCCTAAGAAATACAAATTTCAACCCCCCATCCCCCTCAACAATTTAATAAGGAGATGTGGTATGATTGCCAATGTGACAACTATCCCCAAAGTTCAAATGAAGTGGATGTAAACAATTATATATAGGCAACCGTACCACCTTCAACAATGAGAAAAAAACCAGTAGGGTATAGTCGGCTATGAAAGGCTCTGACATGAAAAATATGAAACAGTTCAGTTCAGAAAAAACGGCCTAATTTATAACACAATAGTTCAGAAAAAAACGGCCTAATTTATAACACAATAAAACGAAATACAAATATGACAGACATCAACAAACGACAACCATTGAACTACAGGCTCCTAACTTGGGACAGGCACATACAGTATGTGGCGGGGTTAAACATGCAAGTGAGCGCTCAACCATCCCGTTAACCTGGGACGAGTTTTGTTACAGAACAACATAAGAACAAACTATAAAAATCAGTTGAAAAGGGCTCAACATATCAGATCGATACAAAACAGAAAAAAAACATCTAACAAAACACAGACCGGACGTGGCAGGGTATTTATACATCCTTAACATAAAAAAAAGGACACAAAGTACAGATCTGAGAGTAATCGCAGTACTGACAGCTAGTTCAAAGCCAATGACAACTAATACAAAAATCATGTATCTAAGACTAAAATATCAATCAGTACACATCCAACATCCAATTGATTTAGTGTAAAGACGTCATTAACAGTTAGAGAAAGACATGACCTTGTGCAATGCCAAATCATATTTATCAACAGATTGTAGTACCTTGATGTGTATACATGTTACAATAATATGTAGTATAATTTTAAGTTACTGATAACAAAATTAATATTTATACCAATAAAAACAATATTCAAAGATCTATTTACAGTGTTCAATTGGTAACCTTTTAAAATAAGTTTATTTAAAGGATTGATAAGTTTACCCTGATCGTTTTTAATTTACATGCATACAATTTCTATTTATAATATTATTGATAAATACAATATTGCAGAAGTAGTGGAAATAGATCTACAAGTGAGGGAAGTTGTTTGTGACTTCAGGGAACTTTATTTGGATATGCCTGTTATGGTCTAATTGAGATTTACAAGACCTTCATTCAATTTCAGCACATTTTGTGAATGTATGTCCCATTTATAGGCATTATGTTTT